ATTTGAACTTTTCTAACTTTTCAAATACTACACCTAGTGATATATGGAAACGTATCTTTAATTTGATACACCAATTCTCAATACTAACCTTTAGTTTAGCTTATATTGTATTGGATATTTCGTTAGTATACCAAAACTCTACCTTTTTATACAAATATTAGTTAAGTTGGGAGGTAACAAGGTGAACAGCAAATAATCCCTTAATAATATTTAAAAACTTGATTTTTATATAAGTAATAAATGAGAATATATTATAAAAAACCAAAGTATTATCCACTATTCTAATAAATATATTAACCTTATTATTCAGATCAAAATAATCTAAATCTTGAAAATAGAAATATAAAATAATTATTAATAAAAGATTCTATTATATAAAAGCTTGGATTACTTATAGTAATTATTGAAATTGTTTTATAAAAAAGATTATAGTTAAAGATTTTATTTTGTTTGATAAAAGGCTATTAATAATATTATTTAATAATACAGGTTATATTAAAGAAAATATACTAGATATTACAGAATAATAATCTTACCTTACAGTTTGTAGTGTAGATAAAATATTAATAATATTTTGAGCTGCTTTAACCACCCAATTATAATTATTAAATTAATTAATAAATATATTAAATATTTATTGAGGATTATTTAATAAAAGGAAAGGATTATTTAATAAAGATTTATATAAGGAAATAAATATTATCTGATTATTTATACTTAGATTCAATAAAACCCAAATAATAGTATTCTATTATTGAATTAATAATTTGTTTTAAGCTCTAAGATATTTAGTAAAAAAAAAATCAAGTAATCTTGTTTTTAATACAATCTTTTAAAAAGTTATATCAAATTGAACTTTTAACTTAATAATAAAATTATCTTATATTACTATCTAAAGATATAATATTTTATCAAAATGCATTTAGATCTATAATAGTATTTAAACATAATAAACAAAATATTTTTTTGTGATTTAAAAAAAATATAATAAAAGATTTAATTATAGAATATATAATATAATAAAGAAAACAATCTAATGTAATAACTAATGATCTGTTTTAATATTCAAAATAGAATTTGCTATTATTTGTAAGATTTGTATATGAATTAAAAGATAATTATTTAGAATAGTGCCAAGAGCTAAGATATTAGCACTAGCTTAGCTAATCTGAGCTAGACTAATTTAGTACATACACGTGATTAAAAGTATAACAATATCTAATTCAAACAATCCATTTGCAAAGAGCCAGAGGACTATGATTTTTACAAAGAAACTAACAACCCATGAATTTCTGGAGCGCCTTTTTGCATTAATATTGATGATATTGGTATATATATATCTAATTTCAAAGGTATCCATCCATACATCAAACGACATCTCAGCATCCATTCAGCAAAACTTCAAACATCACCTCTACAATATTGCCACGGCCCGATGCTAACGAATTTCACATTGCTGTATTATCGCATGCAAATTAGCTCTAAGTACTCACTCACAGGAGATTCTTGAGACTAATAATTCAGTAGAGCATCTCAACTATCAAATTTTGATTTGATACAGATTGACTTCGGTTTCCTCTCTTAGAGTATTTCACTCTCTAGGCGGGCAATTTCAGATGACACCAAACACCAAACACGCTAGTCACATTTCATGGATTCATTGGCTTGATGATTGATTTTTGGTCCTTCGGGCTTTGTTGTTAGTCAATTCTGCTGCGATGTGAGCCAGTTGAAAGGTTATTGAGCCAAACAAACCATCTAGCATTAGCAAATGCGCCTCCAAAATCTTCAGGTTCAGCAACATAACTCTCTCCACTTTGACCTCATAGAACTCTTCTTGTTTCATTTTACTCAACAAGTCTATCCTTACCCAAGAGCCACTAGCATCCTTCTTGCTTCAGATCTTTTCCAAACTTCTTCTGGTATTTCTGCATTGTTGACCCTATACATGACTCCATTCTTCCTCTCGACCTGCAATACAATTTTGGAAGGTTTAGATCCCGGATCTGGTGGGTTGTTGTTGGCAATTAGGATAAATTCGTAAGTACCGCCACCACCCTCAGGCTTTTCTATACATGACGTTCCATCTTCCCGCATATTTTCTTCTTCGAAATCACAATATGCTGTTTGCGCAACCACGTTACCATTCGCATCCCTGATATCACGGTGCTTGTAGGTATATCGAGGTTCCCATGGTGTGTTTATTGAAGTCTCGTACTTCATTGTCATGATTTCCGAGACCTCGAACTGAGCGACTTCTGCCCAGAAAAATATGAGTTGGTCATCTGGGGTGTCATCAAGTCTGTCAATTCCCAAGTCTGGATAGTGCTTTGGAATGTCCTTCAATGAAACCACGTTTGGGCTAGATTGTTGTGATTGCAATGGGTGAAAACGAGTTTGTCCTCCAGGGACGTCTGAAGAAATTCTTGGTACCCGAACTAATCGGAGTGGTGAATTTCGAAGTACATAGCATATAATCTCGGGATCCATACTGTATCCGCATATTGCGTTATTTACTTTTCCTATTACATTGTTCGCGGAAGAGAAACCACAGAAACTTACCCTAGATCTCGATACCTTTCCTCCACGCGTATACTAATTGCATTGTGCCAGCCTAGCCAAGACCAGGATGGAAATGGTACTCTTCTATTCAAAGATGTAGTTTTCAACACTGTTAAATCTTTTCTTCTTCTAACGCCGAGTAGTGAGCCAGGTTCCCAACAAAGCCCCATCTCAAAATTTGTTGTAGGTAATCCCCATAGGAAAGTATCGCCGGTCAATTGCTTGACTTGTTCTAGAATGGCATGAATAGCGTCATGCGCATCCCCAGGGTTGGTAAGCTGCCTTTTAGTGAAATCAAGGACTAGCAGTCTAAATCGATACCAAGTTTGTTCAATAACATCATCAGAAGCGAAGAAGCTGCGGAGAGAGGTATCGAGAAAGTATTCTGTTTCTTGGAGCCTAAACCAGCTTGTGTGTGCTAATGAAGTTTCGCAGTAGGTCTCTTCAGTTCTATGGCACTGTTTACAGGCCCATATAAGCTGTTGATCAGTGAAAATGATACTGCGTCTTGACAGTGCTCTTTCTTGTAGTGTCCATCCTCTCCGACTCCATTCAGCGTCGTCCAGCTGGTGTGAGTATGGGAAACCATTATTGTGGGGGTTCAATGTTCTCATTAGCTTCATAGAAAATTGGGTATCGACCCTAGAAATGAGAGTTTGTGTTTGTTTTCCTGTTCGAGGAATTTGGAATCCTGGTAATCCAACTTCGGAATTTCTCCCAGAAGCAGCAATAAGCGTGACTTTTGAATGGGCATATATGCTTCCCATTTTACCAATTTGTATGGCTTTGTCAGAATCGTCGTTTTGAATTATACACAGGGCATCGACCCACAGATGTCGGATTCCTAATTGTTGTGAAAATCCCATCGCGTCCTGGACAGTCTTTGAAACGCGTCCATTGAGAGAGCCTGATTCTTGGAGCACTTTCCAGTTATCTTTTAAGAGAACCGTTTTTTGAGGACCACCCCACATATAGCTCAATGCTGCGTACTGGAAGTATGCAATATTGACATCACGAAACTCCACAATCTCACTCTCCCGCACGTCAATCAGACGAAATATTGGGGTTTCACTGCTCAAAAGATTAGCAAGGTGCCTTTGACCAACAATTCATGAACTTTCCTTGTGTGCGCTTGATCTGCGAGCTTTGAATTGGAACACTCCGCATGGTTATCTTGACATTCTCGAAGCCATTGAGCTGGAAGTTTAACATCAATGATCTCCGGTCTTAACCTTCCAGAAAAAACAGCCGCCTTATGGTTGACATTTCCATTCCCGGTATCGTTATCACATACCTCTACGTCGTAGGTTTGAAACGCATCATTTATGAAATACCACGGGAATGTTTCAGTATCTGTACGAAGTCCTGGTTTATCAATTTCCTCCCCTTCTCCTATCGGATACCAAATCAAGTCGATCCTATACAAATGCATGAATTCGCACTCAGGTCCCCACGCCATCGCCTTGACGGGTACTACACGAGCACATGCTACGATGGAAGCAACACATTCGAAGGAGTCCAGGTCGCGCATACGATTGTCTTTTTGATTAGACAAAACATCGCAAATTGCTGAACAAAAAGGACATTCAGATGAGGATTGGCGTACACGGTATTGAAAGCCAAGACTAAACTTGGGTCTGTCTCTTTTATGAGAAGACGACTTGAAGGGGTAAGAATCTGGAATCACTGATTTGACATTGAGAGATATTAATTCCTCGATAGTTGGACAGCGAAGCATCTCAAATTCGATAGCGCTGCAGTACTCACAGAGAGGCATTTTGACTCGCAGAATTGTTGTATATTAATCTAATGGGCAGTAGGCTCTGGTGCAATGGATGAAAGTCGATGGCACTGCCTCTGCTTACTGTACCGCTCTCCCATTCTCCCACTTTTCGTCACCCCACGTGTCATGCTTGATCTTACATCGAGCCGAAATAGTACCTGTTGCAAGCAATGCGACTGCTTACTTGCCCTTTCGTATTATGCCAGACCGCACTAATACTGATACAAACCATATCGATTTTGATGAATATTATAATTCATGATTGCTGCAAAACTATTATTGTGCCATTTTTGAATGACTACCGCGTAAATATCAAAGATTGAAATAATCGGCTCTCAAGTATCACCTCTCGAGTCAATGAAACAATGCTCTCCGGGTTCTTCTAATGAAGCAGTTCTTCATTCTCGTATTATATATACATGGTGAAATTTTTGCCATCAAGGAACCTGACCCTTCAGACGATTGGTGGTCCAGTACTAGACATGTGATGGTGAGCGCCGGCCAGGTAGTAAGCACTCTATGTTACAGTAGATACCAGACTAAAATCCAGCAGGATTCGAACCCAAAAGAAAACTATCTCAAGACCATTTACAATTACTCTTCTCGAGATCAACACTAATGACATGGCAGATTTGCAAGTCAAATCATGACAGGCTCATGATTTCTTTGCCTCAGTAATCGGTTCTTTTGGTTCCGATTCCAATTTACCATTGGGTTTTGGCTGAGAACTTGTCCAGAATTTGGCAGACTGCCACCAAGAAGTCTCTGGAGTCTCAGATGGGTTTAACAAAGTTTTCGTAGTAGCAGCGCGACTTGCTTCTACCTCTGCCATCCTAGCCACTTCGCTTTCCTTGGTTTGAATTGGGTGTTCAAAGGCAGCCCTATACCGATTTAGTCAATCGGAATACAAACATGTAGCAAATCGATTTTGAAATCTCAACCTTCATTGTACCTACTTTGCCTGCAAGTTGTTTTCTTGTTGCTCTTTTAACGCTGGTCCAAAAACCCAGATGCCTAAAGTTTTCTCAGTAAATAGTTACCGATACAATGTAATGCCACATACCATTTCCAATGCCAAAGGCTGTGGCTAAGAACAAGGGGAATATTCCTTTAACTTTACTCATCGTTGCCTCCAATAACAGTAGTTTGTACTGATGAGATTCCTTTTTGGGCAGTGAAGGTCTCCACATGAGCGAATCATAGGTTACAGAAGCTGACTAAGAACTGCACTAGCAGCTCCCTCGACTGCCGTAAAAAGTTGGTCGCGTAAAGTGGTTCAGTCGCGTCAACCTCAAAAAGCAATGGGTACTAGGTAACCAACCATCCCTTCAGACTCGCGCTTCGAAAAGGACTTACACTTTTCGACTATAACATGTTATTCGACATAAATGGCAAATTGGAAGGAGAAAGGAGTGGTTCCGGATTCTGAGGATGAAGAAGATTTTGATTCCCAAAATACTATAAATCATGAGATACGAGACAATGCCCCAGACAACGAGTTTCATGATATCGACGATGTGCTCGAGAAAATCAACAACGTCAGAAGAGAGGATGAAGAAGCATGTCCCAATACGAGAGGCATGGTTGAGGAGATCGGGATGTCTCAAGCTTCATCCGTTGACATGATTCAATCTTTTGATATAGTCAATGACAAATTTGTTGACAGTCCGATAGAAGTAATTATGAGAGACTCCTCGGGCAGTGTGAAACAAAATCAAGACCAACCTCTCGAAACTGGAGCGACTACATTCTTACCCGAACCCAGTCTAGAAGCACAGGCCGACGAGGTTTCCAGAAGCTGGGTTAAAGCTCTATCCCCAGCATCCAGCATCCTGTCATCGCCTCCAACAAGCCCTATTCGATCGTCTCCAGTGGCACAGCCTCTTTCATCTCCTGTCCAACAACCCATACTTTCAAGGTCTACAGAGCAGATACGTGAGGAGTCTCCAGCACAAGCGCAACCAGGCTTTGATAACCCAGACTACCTTCCGAGAAGGCAATTTAGAGAAAGGAAGCCTGTGCAAATACATCCATTTCTCTTGGAGCAACAACGGTACGAGCGGAGGATGAAGGCTTCTCACATTAAACCTATTCGAATTCCACAAAGCCAAGATGAACCTAGTCGAAAGAAAAGAGTCACACATAATCAAGAATCGTGGGATAAGGATTTTCAAGACCCAGAAGAGGCGGAAGCGGGTGACATTGAAGAAAGCCAGCCCATTACGCTCACCGGAGGCTCTTCATCACAGTCACTATTAGCAGATAGCGTACGCGAAACCATCAAGGAGCCAAATAATCTCACATTGGGGAAAGAAGAAGATACCGACCACGAATTTCCAGACCTTCCAGATTTGTTCAGACAAAAGTCAAATCTAGTAAAGCCCAAGCAAAAGAGATCCTCAAAGAAGTACTCAACTAAAAATCGGCCGAAATTGCCAAACCAAGCCCAAAGTGTGAATAAAGAACCTAGATTAGACATCTACGATTTTCCCAGCTCATCTTCGACTGGTTCTTCCCCCATTCGTTCAAGGGCTGTACGAAGGCCTACGTCTCGTGTGATTTCTGTTACATCCTCACCTGCCTCAGCTCCTGTTTGGTTGGATCAGAGCTCTCCACAATCTCGGCGAATCACAGAAGTGCCCACTCCAATTACGAGTGCTATCAAAGCCTCTTCACACACATCCCCTTCCAAAATGATGTTGGATACAGAGGATCCGTTTGCCGATCCGATAGAAATCCCTTCTTCGGTATCTGGTTCGTCGTCGTTGTCATCTTCGGAAGAGGAGGACGAAATGGTATTCTTGAAGAAAAGGATGAAACACGTACTACCTGCATCCCATCTAAGACTTGATCAGAAAAGGAAAGAGACTCGAGAATTAAAGCTTCAAGCAAAGTTTCATCAAAAGAGTAACGAAAAGCGTGCTGGTGTTGGAGTTGCTCTTCCTGTTGTGCGAGGATCTAATCAAGCAGCTTCCACGCAACCTGCCAATCAACTTGCATTTTTAGAATCTGACGAAAGTGATGAGCCTAATGAGAACAACTTTGAAGGATTTTTCATAGAAGAAGATGAACGAACTGGAGCTCCTAGCCTATTCCAAGAATCGACTTCCGGGTTTGCTATTGAAGATGATCGTGTCGACAGTATGCTGCCAACTCCAAGCCGCAAACGTTTAGCCAAGAGTTCATTGAAGCAGCCCAATGCTAAACGTCTAATGAAGTCTTCATCTCATATTTGGAATCAACAATCACAATCATACCAACCGAGGATAACTTCGCACCTCACGGCTATAGCTCCAGCTATGCGCAAGGCCAGAAAATCAAAACGAAGACGGCTCAAGAAGACGCCGCCCAAGCTTAGTATATTAGACGTTGCTGAGAGTGCCGGTTATTTTGAGCCAGATGCACCAGCATTCCTCAAGGTAGCGGCTCGAAGCGCGAGATCTCGAAAAGAACTTGGACGTCAAAGTCCAACGCGGAAGTTTATCAGGCTTGCGACTCGCGAAGATACTGCTGATGCCCAATCAGTCTTGCAAGATTGGACGAACCGCAAAATTAGGCCTGGGAATGTTTCATACATACCTCGACCCGAAAATGTCAACGCATATCCGCTCACTGAAATCTCTACCAATCATCAAACGAAGCTTCCGTCACCCATTATGAAGCTTCAGACGAGCCTACGAAAGTCTCAGCCGAGTACCGAATACACCAATACAAGGAAAATTCGCGTACCCAGAGCGAGGCAGCTCTCGATGAACGAGTTTGTGGCGAATAGAGATGTGGAAGCAGAAATGCCTCGATCGAAAAATGCTTCAATTGCCACTACCAAGACTAAACAGAGAGCACGCCCAAATTACTATTTTGCAGCACCATCCGCACGATCAGCGCAACTTGAAGCAAAGCAGTTCCCTACCAAAACTCTGGAACCGCGGAAGAAGACCCTCGATGCCCTTTTTCGTATGAGTCGCCAACAGCCTTTACAGCGAGGAAATCTCCAACTCAGCCGTTTCTTGGCCGATGACGATGTCGTACATCCTTCAATAGAATCCAATGTTCCCAGTGGGGACGATGATGTGATATCAAGCAGTCTTACAAGGAAGGTGGCGAAGCAGCCTCGACGTCGGAAGCGGTTACCTCAACGTTTAGATGCAGGTGCAGCTATCTACCGTCAACCGAGTGAGCCACTCATATCGTCCTTATTGATCCCTGCACTGGGTGAAGTAGGCACCGACCAAGGGAAACTTTTTGGTCTAGGAAAATTTGGCACAAGATATCCTCAACATTTTGATGTTTTTCCACTGCAGGCGGGAATATATTTCCATGAGACTACCTTCCTTGGAAGTGGATGCCTTGCAAATACTTTGAACAATATAGAGCCCGATTTATCTGATGACAACAGGCCTGCGATGACAATTGAAGTGGGAGACAATGTTTTCATATGGGGAAAGTGGAATGCCATTGTCTCCGAACAAATGGGCGTTTGCGTTGACTGGCTAGCAGAAAAGCTTGCTGATACATCTGAGGTGCTGAACAAGTCTGACTTGATCGCGACCACCAACGTTATTCTGGATTATGTACAGCATGGTGTGAATTTCTCAAGTTCTGAGCTGATGTCTGAATTTTTGCTACGAATGTTAGATATACTAGAAGACTTTTCATATCGCCTCAATATGTGTCATGTGTCTGGAGTGAACAACCGGCAAGCAATTCAGGTCACTACTAGACTTTTGGTTCTCTCACTTCGATTACTACGCCTTTCACAAAATGGTGCACATGTATCGACTCTCCGCTTCGAAGAACTATTGCAGAAATTGGCAAGTTCTTGTATCGGCCTCTTAATATCGGAAGGCCTAGAATCTGTAAGAAAGTTGTACGAAGACCTGCAGTATCTGTCTGTAAGAGAGGGTGGCATAAGAAACGATCGCTACGTCTCTGAATCTTGGGTCATCATCATTCATGTTTTAAAGGCTGCAAAGATTCCACGAGTATCGTTTTGGGATGTTGCAAACATACAATTGGGCATCAAAAGTATAAGTTCGTTACAGGATGCCAATTCGATGGAAAAGCTATGGCTCTCCATGTTCTCTCTTCTGCCACTTTTCGGTTTTGATGAAAATGGTTACGTTTCGTCGGTTTCATGGCAGGAAAATGTATTCGAAAATTGGTCACTTCCGCAGCAATTGATCAAAAGGGTATTTGCACTTTATGCGTCGAATGTTCGACAATCACCAAGCTTCAACGATTACTGCAGAGCAAATGTGAGCCGATGTCATTACCTGATGTCAAAATGGGGTTGGTGGAAGTGTAGCGGGATGATTGGCACTCTGTTTGATTGCTTTGCCTTACAGAAGCTCGCAAATTTACGAAATGAAGAGGTTTATAAGTCACCTGAATTTCTGGAAGACTTGACTATAGAATCTTCACTAGATATCGAACCAGAAGACCGCTGCTTTCATATTTTTCTCAAATTGGTGGCCATTGCAATCAGGCATCAGCGTGCACTAGGTGATACTAAAGGTATTAGGAATCTGGTTGCGCGGATCTTGCCAAACCACGATCGTCAATTTCCAAAAGAAGAGGCGATTTTTCATCGTGATCTTGCCTCGTTGCGCAACCATCATGACCTTCTGTGCACAGTATATTGGGCTGCCCCACCAGGTTACGGACCGTCCATCACCTTGCTGCAGAAGCTTGTTTCGGCTGCTCACTCACACAACGAAGCCTTTTTAATAAATCTAAGGGCTTGGGAACGGCTTGCTCGGTTCACCTTGTCTAATATTCCTACCAGTTTCACTGTTGAATCATTTGGACCATTTGTCACTTGGCAGGACTCTTTCTTCAATAGTCTGCTCGAAGAATATCTGGAACTAACCCAAGTTCGGCAGCAACTACATATTCAATCCGATGGAACTTTTCAAACAGATGTTGACTGTAATCGAGGCAGCACCATGTCCTGTATACAAGCTGTGGCGAGATCGACCATGGAAACATTGAAATGCACAAATTCAACAACCTTGAAGCATGCCATAAACCTAGGTAAGGTTCTTTGTTGTAGAATTGTTGTTGACGGAGTTATGTGCTGATATATTCTTAGGCATGCTGGCGAAAATGTTATCTATAGGCTCCTCCAAGGATAAAATTGACCAAGAATTAACCTCATCTGCAATCGAAATCCTCAGCTGTCATATGTATCAACTCAATAACGCAGAGCCAGAAAGCAGATCCGAAGCAAGTCCAGATGGAGATGAAGAATTTGACAGCCAGGGTTTGGAGTGTGATCCCGACTGGGCGAAAGAAATGCAGTTCATGGACGATTATCTTCATGTATGCTCTACTCCATTTCGTAATGTTGCTTCGCCAAGCTAACTTTGTCAGCCGCTTGATCGTGCAATCACATCAACTTTCCGGGATTTAGTTCAAAGGATGTTGCATGATGCCCCGGTTTCACTAGAACATACGACGAATTACTCCTTTATAGGGCGCTTGATTAAGTGCTGGGCTCACTTCATCTCCGCTTTTATAAAGTTCGGCATTTATGTATGATCTCTCAAAGGCCGCTGCTCTAATATTATGCTAACGGCAATACTAGTCTCCCAAGGCCTTCTTAACTGTCGGTGCAAACGCAGTCTTTGAACATCGAGAGAAATCGCCTTGTACGCTTTTAGCTTGGCCGCTGTATCTCAGCGAGCTACTTGAGCACACAAAATCATTACACTCTAATGTAAGCACTTCTAGGTGTGCTTAAGTGCCTTCAATTTTACTAACAGCTTTGCAGGTTCCTGGCTTCGACGTTGGATCAGAATGGATGATTGCTGTCTCCAAGCCACAACACGAACTTCGTTGGGAGAATGCTTTGACTTATCAACTATTGAAGAAAGGACACTTTCTCCTTGCAAGCGAGAATATAAACGATGCATCTTCCAAATCTCTCACGGAGGAAGCACCCTCTGCAAAGAGGAATCAATATTTCATCAAAGGTAAGCTTTCACAGATATGATCTGAACTTGCGTTAACCAGTCTAGGCGCTATTATCAGAATCCAGAAGATTTTCTCGGACCAAGTGTTACTTGCTTCCACGTTTAACAATATAACTAGAGAGACTGTCAAGACTAAGTTCTCGGCTTTGTTGAATTCTACCATGATCTCAATGCAACAGCACTTGCAAAAGCTCCAGACCACCAACGCCATTGCTCACAAAGAGTATGTGAGCTTTGTACAAGAAGTTGTCTCGCAAATTCGTTCTCATTGTAGCAATATCTGTCCCCCATTAGAATTCTTCTTCCGCCAATCTCCTGCGTACTGGCCTCCAGAGACGGATCCCACTCTTTACTTGGCGGGTCTAACATCATATACACTTCAACTTTCTTCGGAACGGGAAAAAACACGGAATGGATTGATATATTATCTTTGGAATGGATTCAGAAGTTCACTGTCGGCTACCGATACATTTTATAGCTACATCAACCAGATTTCGAAGGGTGCACGGCATAGGGACATGCTGGAATTCTTGCTGGCTGACATCGTGCCTTCCACACTGGAAGTCGCATTCGAAAACGAAGCTGGCTGGCTCGCATGCGAAGTCTACATGGTAGCAGTATCAAAAGCTTTTGAAAGCCTCGTTCTGAGCGGACAGCAACTCGGACAAGTCATGGCTCACATGAAAACACTGCTACAATATACTTTCAACAGCCTTGGTAGTCACTATGGTAGATTTGGCCATGCCGTTGAAGCCGTGCATCCCAGTCATCGAGGTATTATTGCTGTCATCTTTCGATTTTGGCGTGCGTGCAGGCCGCACCTGTACAACCTAAATGCTGGCTCTGAAAGTGGTCTGGGCGATATATTTGAATGCTTCGATGGCTTTGTAAAGGCATCAATACTATGTTTTACAAATGATCAAGACATTAGCTTCCAATTCAGGCACTTTGATGTAGGGAAGGTGGGCAACGACGTTGCTATAGAAGAGATCGCGCGCGAAGTTCAAAGCAATTGGAGGGTGAACATGGCAGATGGAGGAGTAGATGTACGGATGAATGATGGTACAGTTGTGAATCATTGTTGCAACAACGGTCCTCGAGATCTTCGTGAGGTGCTTCAAGGAATACTTCCGGAATCTGATATGAGAAAGGCTGTAGCTTCATTAGATTGCTACTTTTGAATAGCTAGATATAGCGATAGACGTATATATTGATATCATAATTTTGCTTTTGTGCCTTTGAGCCTTTCTCCCAAACCCGCTAGAGGGTGGAAATGTATACTACAATCGAGTGAAGAAGTCGAAACTATACTTTTGATATATTGAAAATCTCTTTTTTAATGGAAACACACTCGTTCAATCGGAGCATTTGTACACAATGGGCAGAGACGAATGAAAATGAGAATAGTGATTCTCGTCCATTTAGCGATGATTCGATGATTTGGAGAAGAAACCCATGAATCACAACTATTGGCCACAATCCATTACCAGAAGATGATACAATGATTCATCAAGACAAGGACTACAGTCGCTGGCACTCAAATACAACAAAGTAAATCATTTGAACTGATTTTAATTTTTTAATTATCAAATCAACATACCATATTTCCAAAAAGATTCCTACACGATCATTCTTCGCTAAATCAAAACTATCGATTGTAGTGAGAAAAGGTAATATTAGTTGAGATGCTTTATCCTGTCGCATTTGAGTATCAATACCGGGATGTGTCATATCCTGGGTCGTGTCTTGGATCGTATCTTGGGTCGTATCCTGGATTGTGTCTTGGGTCGTGTCCTGTATTGTTTCTTGAGTAAAGCTCTGAGTCATCGTCCACAGGTCCTTCACGTGTACTACGGCCGGCCCTTGGTGTTGTGAGTGGGGGGGCATATCGTTCGTATTGATCAGCTCCACCTATATCCCTACTTCTGGGTTCTCTCGCATCTCGATTCTTAGGCTGACGCACTGTACTCTTCGCTCTTCTCTCTCTCTCACCTCCCGTTCTGTCAACTTTTGATTTTGGGACCCGTTTGGGAATGTTAACAGGCTCATATTCGTATGGTATATAGCTTCTAGGTCGATCACCTTCACTTATATCTGGAGGAGCTCGTCCTTCGCGCGCATGGTCTCTATGGTACCGATCTCCACTCCTGCTTCTCTCTCTGGTCTTTCTATCCCCTTCGTCTCTGTTCACTTTTTTCCTTGCTGTTCTTGGTTTAGATTGCCGAGCAGACTCCTCATTTGCTATATTTTGAGCTACTCTTTCACGCTTCTCTTGGAGATTGTCCCTCCAAGCGCGCTCTAGTTCTTCCTCTTCTTCTCTTTCTCTTCTATATCGCTCATCCTGTTTTTCTTGTTCCCTTTTTCTCTCTCTTTCTTGCTTCTCTTTCTCCTCTTTCTCCTCTCTTCTGCGTCTTTCATGATCTTTTATCTTGCGATCACGTTTAAGCTCTTCTGCCCCCTTTCTATCTATGTAATCTGAGTACAAATCGTCTGCTGGCAATGGATTCTTCCTATGTTTCTGGCGAGGACGCTCGGGAAGAGTCTGCTTATGTGTGTGCCGTTCACTCTCTGGTCGTCCTTGGGGGTCATCATTCCGTACCCGAGATGATCCTCGAGCCCTTCGGTTTGTCGGGATTTCATTGCCATTGTTCCGGAATTTCGCATAATCTTGAAAGTCTCTCGCTGGTCTCGGTGGTTCTACAGTTTTTGTAGATCGTTCTCTAGGTGGAGATTCTTCCCTGTCGACATTGCTTGAACGTTTACGTGGAGGAGGAGGAGTTCCTTCACCCCTTCCTCTATTTTCATATTTTTCTGACTGCTTTGTTTCCAATTTCTCCTGTCTGGCTCTCTCTGCCGCTGCCGCTTCTTCAAGTTTCTTTTTTGCAGGACCGTCAGGAAGTCTCAAATTCAGACGCTCGCTCATAGACTTCTCTTTATTAGACATTATGGTAACACGGTCCTAGGTGACTTGGCAATTCCAGGAAGTTCTTTTTGAAAACAGAATTGGAAGATCCCAAATGGATATGCTTAATTCAAAATTTGAGTATATCTTCGGTTAAATTACAACACGCTGAATTAAAGAATGGGCGGCGAGCATTGTTGATTTATAGATGAATGGTTACAACACAAACACAGCTAGACTTTGTCACCCGTACGTCATATTTTAACAAATAGCACGAATACATGCCACTAAACACGTAAAAAATTGTGGCGGAGCTAGCAAAGATGTATTTTTAACGGTGAAATGTATGTATGCTAGCGGTTCAGGGCCGCGGCCCTTTACCATGTACATTGCTAGCCGAAGTAACCCGTATGTATTCATCTTGACAAAGGACTTGCTTAGCAGTTGGCTGTTCTTTCAATTGCCGAAACTTGATTCCAGATTTTGTCGTTGTTCTAGCTGATATTCTAATGTCCAAAATAATGAGCTTTTTTCTAATGTTTCTCAACAGACTGTTAGATGCACCAAATATGACTGGGTGCCGAGCTCAGTCAAGCTTACCAGCATTTGTCATGGTCTCTGGGCAAAGTGTATTCAAATAAATCATGGCTGCTTCTTTCTTTCTTACACACTATGATTTATTTTGCATTTATCTGTGTGTGATTGTAGTGCGGTAAATACTTTGATACAATATACACGAATCAATACATAACCTAAATTTGACACCATGTTTCTGTCAGAATTCCTGATTCTTTTGCTTGAGCTGAGTTTGGATGATTTTCTATGAGGGTTTCCAAGAGTGTTTTTAACCTCAGGTGTTTATAATTAACGTGAAAATCTCATAAATATCCGAGGATTATTAGCTTGGATTCGGTCGTTGCTCCTTCAGGAAATCGGCCTCAGCAAAGGTTCCAGGCCCGCATTGCGAGTTAAGGAACAGAGTTCGCAGATTAACCTCGACGGGATCAATTGAGAAACCAACTAATAAATCAATTTTGGAAATATTTGAAATCTTATGTGATAATATTACTCCCAACAAAATTCAAAAATTAGAAACCGGAGAAAAATATGCCATTTCCAAAATATCGCAGGTGAAAGACACTTGTCAGGAGGAATACACCTTGAAATTTCTGAAAGGACCAGAAATACTGTCATCAGTTGTTTTGAAGGCCATTGAGCCAGCATCTTGTTATTGAAGGACTTTTATCTTTCCTCTCCTTAATGACAACTCTCCCAAATGATTTGAGAATCGCAAACGCTCTCAATGTAACTAGAACGTCGCTGTATATCGAAAGTCTAGTCAAATACCTAGGTCGTTGATATCATTTTGCACGAGCCGAGAAACTTCTCAAACTTGAGCTAATTTGACTACTTCAACAATTTTCGCAGAGTACTAAAAAATACTATTTTTCTCAATTTCCACGTCGTTTCCTCCATTGTGCACACTATTCCCATGTCCATCGAATTCTACATTGCTCTCTGAAATCTAGACTTCTCACAGGTAATTGATAAAATCTCGAATAGTATGGGGGATGAGGCTTATCGAGGGCCTATATCATTGTAAGATTACCTCATTTTCGGAAGTGTGCTAGTGACACGCTACTTTCTCGGCAATCTATAAAACCACGCTAGCGTATGTTATGAGAACATTTCAAAGTGATCATCGATCCTAGATACACTGGCATGGTATAGCGAGCTGGACATCCGAACAAGAACTAAAAAACGCGATTTCTGTAACCCAGTTGTCTGCTCCTGGTAGCTCTAAACATTCCCTTCAATTGGTCTAGTTACATGCAAACGACCTTCATCCCTCTCAAGATCAGGCATACTTCTTTTCCTCTTCCTCCACAAGAAGTTTCGCTAATGCGCCACTTCCTTGATATTCTTGGAATGTCTGCTCGTCTTCTTCTTTGCCTTTCCCTTCTCATCCTTCCCACTCACCTTTCCTCCCTAGCGATTCCGAGTCGACTGATTACCTCTCCACCTATCTAGCATAGAGGTCATCGGACCCGACCCTTCAAAACCGAGATTAGCTGGCCCCAAATCATGCACTCCAGGCTTTGCTGTTCTGTCACTGCTGCTGCTCGTAGTATTGGGGATGGGAACACGGGGGGTTTTATTTTTATCGGGACCAACTTTGATAGGATCGTCGTCCTTTGGCAAGGCTTTGGCTCTTTTGATCGCTCGTTTGAGAGACAGCGAGTCACCGGGGTTGAGAACACGGGGGGTTTTATTTTCATCGGGATCAACTTTGATAGGATCGCCAACTTTTGGCAAGGATTTGGTTCTTGTGGTCCCATGTTTGGGAGGGTCACCGGAGACTTTGTGACCTTTTCTGGCTGGGGGACTCATGATAGATATATAAAAATGATGAATTGTAAATTGAGGCTTGTATTGGAATACTTTGAATCGTATAATGAGGAAGTGAAGAAGTGAATTTGTATTCTGAATTTCGTGTAGTCGAATTCATCCTTTTATAAGCAGATTTCCATAGGTTGGACTATTTAACTCAGGTTGGTTGGAAATCTTAAGGTTTCTACCTTGAAGCGATATTTTCAATGACCGGAAGTATTTCCTGTGAAGGAAATAAAGTGGTCATGTTAAGAGTCGCTCTGTCAGTGTTCAATTGTTCTACCTCATGAGTAGGCAACAGCTTACTTGATTTGACCACTCAATGGGTCTCAGATTATTTATTGCCACATTATTTATTCATGATAACAATTTCAATACCTGAATAATCGAGTTATGTGACCCAAACACGTTTACGGCCGGCGGAGATAATTATGCGTATACCGTTGTCAATTTTCACAATGGCGCTCGAAAGCTAACAAAAAGCAGTCAAAGGTACGATGATGAGCAACTAAATCAGGTCAATGTCCTGCGATTTCTTTCAAAGTGATTTATCTTATTCAATAAGCTTGTGTGTGGTAACACAGTAACTATATCCAAAGCAACTCAACAGACGCTATAAAGTGAACATTATGCCTGGTCTAGAACCAAAGCTTTTTTCTCAATCTCTCGTCATTGTCGACTTGAGACTAGAAAAGACACCTCCAAATCGAGAGCCATTTCTCTTCCCCGCTGCATCGTCTCCCTTCTTGACGGTATTCTTTCTAGCCTTTTTCGCTGGCTTGTTTAGGTCACCGAGACCACCATTTCGAGAGCTTCCTCGAACATGCGGGTTACTTGTTTTAGAAGCTTTCTTATTGTGTGCAAAATCTATACGATCAATTCGATCTTCGCCCCGAGAGCTGCCACCAGTATCTGCATTACTTGTTTTGGGAGCTTGCTTCTTCTTCGCATTATCCTTACGCTTATTTGTATCTACAGGTCTCTGCTTTACTCCTGTCTCTTTGACAAGAGGTGCTGGCTCACCCGTATAGTTTGCTGGAAAGGTAAATGATTTTTGATCTTTCAGATTCGGAGCTTGGAAAGTAGCAGGGTGATAGCTAGCATCTGATCGTTCTCTCATAATTAGAGCTTTAAACGCTTGACTTGATTGACTGGATAAAATCTTCCAGAGAATCGTCTTATGAGCTTAGTGGGGTTTGTGGACTGAGAATTAATGCAATGAGGTTGTGTGAGCTTATAGAATGTAAATGCAAGAGTCGTCTCATGTTAGAGGTGAGGAAGATATACAAACGAAACCTGTCTATCAGCTTCGGAACCCTTTTCTCGCCCAACATACATGCTGACCATCGCGATGGGAGTGGGCGGCTTTACGGACAACAGGATTTTCTAGCTGTGGACGAAATTCTCAACCAACAATTCCTTCGATTCTAAAATGCAAGCAATATATTGTTTGGCATGCCACCATACAAAAAATGAATTACTAACATTTCCTGAATCACAAGATATCCCATTTCTAGAAATACCAATATTTTACAGAAAACAAGTTTCTATCAAAGTTCATTCCTTGAATCGAGATAAGCTAACAAGAGGTAGGAAATGAAAATGTTCCAAGTCTTTGTATTTAAGCCCTTAAAATAGCTCACTAACATTGTAGTAAGAATTCTACAAATCGACCCAAGCGAAGAGAACTAACATACCCACGATCATGTGAAACTAGAAGAAAAGTATACAGGCAAGGAAAGCACTCTGCCTCTGGGTTTGCATCAGGGATTTGTATGAAAAAGAGAGCAATCAACTCGAGATTCTTAGACGCGCTACATCAAGAATACGGGTCCAGTAGCAATTGCGAAAATGAGAAGATGTATCGTTCACACCGATGCACCTCTCGAACCTCCAGAGATACCACTAAGCAAGCAGTGCTGGAGTTTGATATGTGCAAAGACTAATATTGGCAAATGCTATAGAGAACCACGGTGAGAATTGAAATCCATCGTACAATGAACAATCCAATTCTGAGCTCTTGATCCCAAAGAGATAGACTGACCAAGAATATTAACTGCTGTTGAAGAAGTTCCTCAAGTGTAACGGAGTTACATACCTAGTCGTCAACAATCCGTACGCCCATCAATCATTGCACATTGAGCAAATAGACATTGTCGAGCTGAAGTCGTAAGGGTCATGGCATGCATATGAGAATGAATCAGGTGAGACTTATGACGATCTGAAGCTCAACTAAACCAACCACGTGGACTTATTTGTGCAGCGTAGGCTGAGCGGTATAACCGTATAGTAGCATTGAGTGGTAATGATATCCGAATCTTGAAATCGCATTACACTCAACCCCGGCTGATCAACACACGACTTGATGATCGGGGTAAGATATATGTCGCGACATACCATTCGGGATAGCTTGGAAATCAAGAGCGGTGATAGAAAGCACCAGATTCGTATTCAAATTGAGTTGGGAACATCGATTATCTTGTCGATAACAAATGACAGAATCATTTTCTTCCATTTTCCTTTCTCTTTCCGTGCCCTTTCCGTGCCCTTTCCGTGTCATTTCCTTGCCCTTATTGTCGGGTACTCATAATACTCATAACCATTCATTTCTTGTCTTCTAAATTCATCGAAAGGATGATGCGCTGAACGATACTGACACTGGTTGTCGATGGGCCCACTTAGCGCCTAACAAAGAATCCGGGGTAGCTATATTTTAGTGCTGCAACCTGCGCCACCGATAATCTCAGATCACCAACTCCAACTTCGAGCAAATTCGATTGTTTTTGTAAGAACAACAAAGCTATGAAAGAACGGAAATAGCTATCATGAGTTCTTCGCCATCGGCTTCCGAAGGATCTAGCGCATCGCCTGTAAATAGGGATGCTCAACGGGATAGAAGGTTTGGAAAGAATGGAGCAAAGCGAGGGGTATGTTGCACTACGATCTCGCGCAAGAGAATAGATTGAGGACTAATCAAGTGTCACATCGCAATAGAAGTTACGGAATGGAACATTCGTATTACCTAGTACAGGAGAACGAGTTCGCAGACAAATTACACTACGAAGTCCCTCAGGATTTGACGGACCGGTGCGATCACATCCACATGAAGAGGGCTTGGGTTTGGGTCTAAATTTGACGGGAGAAACCCCAAATATCTTCCAAAGAGGTTGGAAAAATTGTGTTAAATCCTCAAAGGGATTCTCACAATGGATAAAAACACCTACTGGAAAAGGAATTCTGAAATGCTCATTAGCATACACACTTGGGAGTCTGGCGACTTTCTCACCGCACTTGGCCAACTTTTTAGGGCAACAAGATGGGAAACATATGGTTGCTACGATCACGGTATACTTTCACCCTGCGAGATCATCGGGCTCCATGGTTGAAGCCGCAATACTTGGTATATCGGCATTCCTATACGCGGTCTTCATATCAGTGTCGAGCATGGCGGTCTCGGTGTACTGCGAAACTCAATTGGGCCTCATAGAACTTGGTTATAGCCTCATTCTCATAGTGTTTTGTGGGGGTGGTCTAGGATTCATTGGCTGGTTCAAGCAGGCATACAATGCTCCATTGGTTAGTGTTGCTTGTAGTCTGGCAAGTTTGGCGATCATTACGGTCCTCACAAAAGAGAATGCGGTGCAAGTGGGTGTTTTTTCGAATGATAAAATTGTACAGGTTATGAAGATGGTTATTATGGGAATGGTTTCAACTTCAATCGTCAGTTTATTGGTTAGTCATTTTCTTCCTTACAACTGCTGAGGACAATTACTGACTTCTGAAAGGTATGGCCAATATCCGCCCGAGCAGAGCTTCGAGAAAGCATGATCAAGACCACAGACTCATTTGGGGATATGCTTACTATGATTACTCGAGGGTTCCTTAGTGGCTCGGAAACTGATTTGCGCTCGACCTCCTTTGAACGGGCTCAAAAGCAATACAAATCGGTCTTCACTCAGCTCACAAAGAATTTAAAGGAGGCGAAACTGGAACATTACATCCTAGGCACTGAGAACGAATATGCAATTGAAGCGAGGCTTGTTGGTTGCATGCAAACACTTGCTCACTCCATAGGAGGATTACGGAGTGCTGCATTGACACAATTTTCGTTGCTTCAAGAACCTCCATTAGGCAGCGCAACACCAACGGGCTCACATGGATTCCCGCACTCTCAAACAAATTCCCTTAGTCGACCCATTAGCAGTAAATCGGATCGTTTTGCAGTTCTAGGAGCCATTGAGGAAGCATCGGAAGAGGGCAGTGATCTCGATGCCATTTCAGAGAGACCTAAGTTTCTCACTCGTCAAGGTACCGAAACCACTTTGTCGAGTATAGTTATGCCTACGGTTCGATCTCCATCGGAAATTTTTGGACGATTTATTCTTCATCTTGGCCCATCAATGAAGTCGCTCGCATATACACTATCGCAAATTCTAGAAGAGCTACCATTTGCCGAAGGGCCTGAATACCGTATTACTATAAATGAACATTTCCGATCAAGTCTGACAGAAGCATTGTAAGGATAGCCAACTTACATCTACAAGCTCAGAAACTAACAATGTATTTGTAGAAAACTTTACAGCAACGCAAGAGCTCAAGCACTGAAGGAACTTTATAAATCCAAAGAACTTGATAGAACCCGTCCTGAAAGCATTGAAGCTGATTTCGAAGAAGTGGCTGCAAGTTGCGGTCATTTTAGTTTCAATCTACAAGATTTTGCAAGCGAGATGCAAAACTATTTGGCAATCCTAGAAGAATTGAAAGAAGAAGTAGAGACTTCCAAACATCGTTCGTGGAAATGGCTCATATTTTGGCGAAAGTTTAATCGTCAATCCAAAGCAGATGCTATCGACGATGAAGAGCAGGAACAACTTATTACGAGGGATGTGGAAACTGAATTGCCCAAAGATATTCCTGATCCTTTACGTACCAGACTTGGATATAGAAAGGTTGAGATCACTTCTAGAGTCAACTCGGAGACTAAGGGAGGTGTTATACGACGGAAGGCAATGTGTATGGTACGATTCCTGGACCGTGATGATAGTAAGTTTCGTCTAAAGTAAGCCTGCTATACCCCCTCTTACAGACTTCTAGTTCGATTTGCCGTTAAAGTTGGCCTCGGAGCTGCTCTTTATGCTCTATTTGCTTTTATACCCGGCACAAGACCAACATATCAGCATTACCGAGGAGAATGGGGACTTTTATCTTACATGTTAGTGTGTAGTATGACAATTGGAGCATCTAACACCACTGGCTGGGCTCGTTTTATTGGTACTTTCATCGGCGCCGTAATCGCATGTGTGGTTTGGGTCATTTGTGCGGGCAATCCTTACGCATTAGCTTTCTGCGGATGGCTTGTCAGTTTACCGTGTTTCTATATTATTATTGCAAAAGGCAATGGCCCCTTCGGTCGCTTCATTATGCTTACCTACAATCTTTCTTGTTTGTATGCGTATTCTTTGTCAGTTAAGGACTCCGACCACGATGACGACGAAGGTGGTGTTAGACCAATCATCACCGAGATCGCATTTCATAGAGTTGTTGCGGTTCTTGCGGGTTGTATTTGGGGTTTGATCATCACAAGAGTCGTGTGGCCGATTTCCGCAAGACAAAAGTTCAAAGAAGGTTTGTCGCTTCTGTGGTTACGAATGGGTCTTGTCTGGAAAAGGGATCCTTTATCAACGATTGTAGAAGGCGAGTCTCAATATGCATACATGAATTTGAGAGAAGAGTTTGAATTTCAAAGGTACATATTTGTATTAGACAAACTTCGAAGCTCAGCCACAAGCGAATTCGAACTTCGAGGCCCATTCCCATCTGCTACCTATGGGCGCATAGTCGAAGCTACGACTAAAATGCTGGATGCTTTTCATGCTATGAATGTAGTTATCCAAAAGAATGCTGAAGCTAGTGAGGGTGAAGCTTTATTGTTGAAATTCACGGAAGACGAAAGAGCGCAGCTTTGTGCGAGGATTAGCCATTTGTTTCAAGGTTTGTTCTCTTCGCCAATTCAAAGTCATACATGATCAAGGCACTAATAATGAATAGTCATGGCTTCCTCGATGAAACTCGAGTACCCTCTCCTAACAGACGGTCTTCCAAGCACGGCTCATTCCCGCG